CGGGCGCCCGGGGCCGGCGCCGCTACCACAAATATGGGCTCCGGGGCCCTCGGGGAGCCCCAGGGCCTCACAGAAGACCGCTAGAAGGCACCAAGGAGGCCCCAAGAGGCTCCAGAATAGACCCGGGACGCCCGAAGGTCGCTCCCAGACGCCCAACATGGCCTCCAAGGCGGCTTCAGAAGCCCCCAAGACACCCCAAGCGACCCCCAATAAAGCCCCAAAGAGAGCCCCGAGGGGCCCAAATAGCCCCATTCCCTTCGTAAAACGTATATTCTAAACATATGGCTTGTTTTCGCTGTCGGTCCTGCCGAGGACGCGCCCCAGAGGGCTCCCATTCAGCCCCAGAGAGCTCCAGGACGGCCCACGAAGGGCCCAAGACGGCCGCAAATGTGAGCCCCGGGGCCCTCGGGGAGCCCCGGGGCCTCACAGAAGACCGCCAGAAGGCGCCAAGGAGGCCCCAAGAGGCTCCAGAACAGACCCGGGGGACGAGGCCGCCTGGACGGGCCAAGGGACCACGGGGGGCATGGCGTGTCACGGCCTCCGGGAGCGCTCACAGACGGCCCAAGGCGTGCTGAAAAGGGCTCCAAGAAGGCTCCAAGACGGTCCAATGCAGCCCAGAGAGTCACCGAACCATCGCCTAAGACGCCCAAGATGGCCCCAAGGCGCTCCGTAACCATTTGGGCTCAAGACATTGTGGCAACTCTTCAGGAATAGGGAACATTTGGTTTGCGCCTATTGTTGCCAAGCCCCTGTTACTCCGCATGCATCGCCAGCATAAGCATCCTGGCGACGTGCATCTCCGTTCCTCGGGTTGTGAGTTGGAGTGCCCTCAAGCAAACACTTACTGCTGCACCCAGTGGACCAATGATAACAAACATGAAGAATTTCAAACTTGCTGTGTGGATGGTAAGGTTGTTCCAGGATGCAAGTGCCATTATTGGGACGGGTGCACAAGGGGGTATTGTTGTTATGGTTCTGCATATCCCGGGATATGTACCGCGTGCTAGCTCAATCGTCCTCTTCTGAATCCCGCTCGGTTTAACGTCCTGCCCGCTCGTATGATAACCTGCGCGCTCATTCAATGAGCGCGCAGGTTATGACATTTGTAAAGTCGCGTTCGCCGGGTCTGTCCGCCCGGCGCGACCCCAGCGAAGCGAGATTGGCAACGCGAGATGGGGGAAGCGAACCGTAAGTGCAACAACAAAAAAGATGGCCCCAAGGCGTCGCAGGAAGGCGCGAAGACGCTTCAAGGTGCCTCCCACAGGCCTATCAAAATGCCCCGAAGAGGGCAACACATTCCAATTCCTTTGGGAACGTCCATTTTTAGCAGAAGCACCTTTTCGCTTTTCCGACGCTCCAAACAGTCCAAGAAGCCCCGAAGACCGCTTTAACGCAGCCCATGAGGGCCCAGCAGACCCCAAGACAACCCAAGAGGGACCCAAGACGGCCCAAGAGACCCAAGATGGCCCAAGAGGGCCCCAAGACGGCTTTAAGAAGGGGCCCAGACGGGGGAGCCGAACGGACTTTCTGGGCCCTCGGCCCCGAGAGGCCCCCAGGAGGCCCCAAGAGGCGCCCGGGAGGCCCCCAAGACGCCGCCAGACGCCCCCAAGGGGCCTCCAAGAGGCTCCCGAGGGGCCCCCCAAAGCACCCCAAACGATCCCCAACAGGCACTGAACCGGGCCCCAAGAGCCTTGGATTTGCTTCCAGGAGGCCCCCAAGAGACCTGCCACGAGATCCGAACGAACTGTTCAGATGCTTCAATGAGGAGCGCCAGACGCCTCCAGGACGACCCCGGATGGCCAGTTGTCGTCGCCGAGTTCGTCGTCGTCGTCGTCGTCGTCGTCGTCGTCGTCGTCGTCGTCGTCGTCGTCGTCGTCGTCGTCGTCGTCGTCGTCGTTGTCGTGCGGAGGTGACATGACCACCTCAGCTCATGACATCTCAGAGTCCACAGTTTACGAGGATGTCATAGGCGAACGTGGCTGGACCACCATAGGACAGGGCATGAGGTCAGAGTTGCAAGGATATCTCAGGCCAATGTGTCCTGACCACCTCAGCTCAGGGCATCTCGGAATCCAGGGTTCCCCGGATGTCCCAAGCGAAAGTGGCCGAGCCACCATGGAGCGTGGTATCTCCTAGGTCAGAGTTGCGAGGATGTCTGAGGCGAAATTTGACTGACCACCCCAGCTCAGGGCCTCTCGAAACCCAGAGTTTCGAGGATGTCCCAGGCGAAAGCGGCCGGACCACCAGGGGGCAGAGCATCCTCGAGGTGAGAGTTGCGAGGATGTCTAATGCGGAAGCGGCCTGACCACCTGAGCTCAGTGCATCTCATCACCCACAGTTGCAGGGCCGTCTCAGGCGAGAAGCAATGACCACAATCAGGCAGGGCATCTCAGAGGTCAGGGTTGCGAAGATGCCTCAGGCAAAGGTGACCACACCACCTCAGCTCAGGGCATCTCGGAAACCCGAGCTGCGAGAACGTCATAGGCGAAAACGACCGGAC